GAAAGTGGTAGAAGAAGGAAAGCACTTGTCACAGAACAATACGAGAAAGACCCCCTCTCTGAGACAGAATCCAGTTCTGACTCTGATTCTGATGAGGCATTCTGTTGCATGGACACTGAAACAGAAGACCTATGCCTCATGGCTCAATATGATGATGAGGTAACCTCTTCTTCCAATTCTCATTTTTTCTCGGTAGGCACAACTTTAAATGATGATGCAATGTCATCATTATGGGAAGAGTTTAGGACTATCCAAACCACTTATTCTTTAGTTAAAGAATAAAACAGTAAGCTAAAAGCTGAAATCTCTGACTTAAGAAAAGAGACTGAGGTAACACTTGATGTCTTAATTAAGGAAAGGGATGAACTTGAACCTGAAAATGTTTTTCTTCTCGATAGAATAAGAGAAATTCAGCATTTTGAGATAAGATTCAATAGCCTTCTGAAAATGCAAACTTCTCTAAAGGATGTTGATACTGATCAAATGTTTTCCCCTATTTCTGGTCTTGGATATGTTGCAACAGAATCCGGTGAGCCTTCTGTAAGGCCTAGCACCCAAGTTGTTAAGGCTAAAAAGGTCATAGAGCCACGGATATTTAGTCCCATTTGTCATGCTGGTGTATCTGGCACCAAGGTTGTTTAGAGGAAGTCAGACCAGAAAATAAAAAGATAACGGCTCAACAGAAACCTATTTTAAAAACTAATGAGTCTGGCAGAAAACCTAACAACAGAAAAGGTTTTCATAAAAATCAAAGGCAAACCATCAACAGACAACCACATGATAACCGTGCTAGAAATGATCACCAGAAGGGCAGGTATCAAGAGAAAGTTAACTTTAGGCAGAAGAGGTTGGCTGGTCAACTTCAGAAGCTCAAAGCTAACCGCCCCTCTGCTCTTGATAGTATATGAGACTTCTTTCTTACCAAGAAAGCTATGCAAAAATATGTAAGCAGGAAGCATGACCCTCACAAGCATCTACCCAAAGTGAATCACACTTCGGTTTACTATGACTACCAGGTGGACAATGAGTACCACCCACCAAGGTTTCACGTGATGAGACCAAAGTGGTACCAACTACCAAGACTTCATGACCCCCTAGGACCCAACATTGTTTGGGTACCTAAATCTTTCTTTTAATTCTGCAGGAACAGTGTGCTGGAGCTATCTCTGAACAAGAATAGTTTATTGATAATGGATGCTCCAGGCAAATGACAGGTGACAGAAGTTGGCTAACAAAATTCCAAAAGCTGAATGGACGCAAAGTCACTTTTGGTGGAAATGACAAAGAAGGTCAGACAAAGAGAAAAGGCAAGCTGATCAAGAACTAGATAAGCATTAATGATGTCTCATATGCTAAAGGCCTTAAGTCAACCTACTAAGTGCTAGCCATTCTGTGACAAAGCCTATACAGTTGAATTCACAAAGGAGTTCTGCTATGTGAAGCATGAGACAACAAAGGAACCCCTGTTTTACAAAGAAATCTTCTTTAACTAGAAGGACGTCCAAGTAACTGGAGTAGTGAAGTGGGTATACTTCAAGGAAGCTCAGTGAAAGGACCAGTCTTAAAGGAAGCCAGGAAGTACATCCCATTAGACATCAAGACTTGAAGAAGACATGGAGAGCTTCTTAAGTGCTTAACCGTCTAAAATCATAACAGTCTATTCACCCCCTCTAGACTGTTACCTTTCTTAACCGGGACCAACATAAACTAATCCTTTACAAGCTTAGTGGAACAGTGGATTAGAGGAACGAGTTGTTCCTTGAACCACTATAAAAATACATGATGTCATTTACTTTACGCTTTTACTTCTTGCATTAGATTCTAACTATTTTACCTTTAGAGCTAACAGAAAGGTAACTGCCTTAATGTGTTTGAGAGTTTACCCGACCAGAAGACCTATCTGTTGCAGGTCAGCTCTGTCAAGAACTCACTCCAGCTCTCACTTCTCTCTAAGAGTCAATACTCCATCATTTGGTGCTTTCATTGAGAGCTAGAACAATCAAGTTAGCCTCCTTCGACGCTACCAAGCACAGCTAACTCATCATGGGAAGAACGAATTCTAACCATAACCTCCTCGACAAGGCCATCCCTGAGGCCCAAAAGAACAGGGAACACGAGGAGGATGCTACGGCCGACAAGGCCGTCGGTGAGGATGTTTTCCAGGAGGCCATCGACCTCACGAATGACCTTCGCCAACAACTCAACGGCGGCGCCCCTGATGCCCGCATCGCCCTGGAGAAGAAGCGCATGGACAAGGGCGACAATGCCTCAGGGCAACCGACTTCTCCTGCCGTTGAACCTCAGCTCCAGGCCGCACTCTCGGCCATCATTGCCAGCTTGGCCCAGAAACCCACCGTCCTTAGTGCACTCATGCCGAGGACGGGGAGAACACGACGCCGCCACCTCAACCCCAGCCGTTGGCCATCAACATAGGCAACGACGAAGGGGTGATGCCCCAGGACACGACGTCGGCCCACTCCCACCCTCCTTCCCCGCTTCGAGCTAGACCGACCCCAGCGCGTGGAAAAGCCTCAACCTTTAATAGGCTAGGTGACACGTGTCGTCGCCCTGCTTCAGAGAGGATGGCGGGACGGATTGGTCAGCGTGAGCCTGGCTCACCCAGGGAAAGCTTGGGGCCCGTATCCCGAACAGCGGATCGGCCCCGCTTGGATAAAGGCAAAGGAAAACTGCATGAGGGCGACACACGCCACCAAATCAACACAGCTCACGCAGCCCGCTTGCAAACGCAAGGCGCCACTATGGCCGCCAAGGACCCCAGGGACGAGGTGATCGCCCAACTCGAGCGGAGGCTCGCTCAGATGGAGGCCAAACAGCTGGTCGCGACCCCTGCGGGTAACTCATCCAGAGATCCCGACTTCAACGTCCTTCCACACAAGGTCAGCGTCCTCAAGAGGGAGTTGGCCGAAGGACGAGGAGACCCCATCGTCCAGGTCAGAACTAGGACCCCCATCACTCACAGGGTACTCTCGGCCCCTATTCCCGAGAAGTATAGGGGGAACGCCATTAAGCCCTATGACGGTCGTTCCGACCCTCAGGAGCACTTCAGCCGCTATCAGAACAACATGCTGATGGTGAACGCATTAGACGAATACCTGTGTCGTTGGTTCCTTTCCACTCTGGAAGGGCCGGCGTACGAATGGTTCAATGCACTCCCCGAAGGAAGCATAGATTCATGGCAGGATCTTGCCCAGCGCTTCCTCACTCACTTTGCCGGGAGGAAGCGTGCGAAGAAGTATTTCACCCATCTTCTCTCCGTCAAGCAGCAACATGACGAATCACTCCGGTCATTCATCGACCGATGGATGAGGGAGACCGATGAGGTCAAGGGGGCCGATGAGCGCACGCTCCATGTCCTATTTCAGGGCGCCCTCCGCAGCACCCCATATACAAGGAGTCTCATCACCGACCATCCGAGGTCCTATATGAAGGCGCTCCAGTGAGGGAACTTATACGCTGACGCCGAAGAGCTCCACAGCCACAAGAAGGACGGAGGGCACCTTTCCAAGAAGATGAACACTGCGCCAACTGCAGGCGCACCCTCGGTCGGGGACCGAGGTCAGGGAGGACAAAGCCGCCATGGGTCTAGCGGAAAGAACAAGGACCGCATATGACGGTCGAGGATGGAAAGGCTGAAGACCCCACTCACTCATTCGGTCAGTTCCATCCTCGATTATGTCGAGGAACATGATCTCATTGAACGGGATCCTCGGTCGGCGAAGGAAATCTACGCCGTCCATCAGTGGTGATTTTTCTAACCTCAACCTTAGCTTAATTTCATAAGTAAATCTTGTTGTAGCATTAATTTGAAAAAAAAAACTCAAATTTATAATTCGGCTCAGTTTTTGTTGTGAATCATATACATTATTTTCTCGTCATGCAAAAAACATACCGAGTATTTGATCAAATGCTTGCACGGTATTTTTTTTATCAATACATTAACTATAGATAAATGATTTGAAATATAAATTTTGTGGATGTGGGATTCGAAAATGATTGAAAAAATTAGAGAAAATCTATAAAGTAGAGGCAAAACATAACGAAAGTCTAAAGTTGAAGTAAGGGGTGTTTGAAACAGATTCTACTTCTGCTTCTTTTTCTAAATCAGAAGCAGAATCAGTTTTCGGAATCCGATCTCTCTCAACTTCTAAAAAACTGATTTTAGTAGTAAATTAGAGCACCAGAAGTACTTCTGCACTTTCACCCAAACACTCCAACTTCTGTTTCTACTCCCGGAAAGAGCAGAAGCAGTTTTAAGAATCAGATCCAAACACCCCCTAATTTGTGATTTAACGAAAACAACCTTATAAAACTACTCCCACGGGACAGCCACCACAAGTCACCGATGGTCCCCTTGAAAAAATGATTTACTCTCTCTGTCCCGTAAAATAGTTCCCGATTTCTTTGTTGGGTTGTCCCATAAAATAGTTTTCATTTCCTTTTATAGAAAGTTTTTTGTGGATATCATTGATTTACCTTTTTATTACCCAACCACAACCATATGTTTCCACTTTATTCCCACTTTCTTACAATTCGATCCAAGTCAATGTGGTAACTATTTTATGGGACGGATGAAGTACAACTTAATAGCTTGGTCACTTTGAAGCTAAAAATATGCCAGGACATACTTCTCATAATTAATGGATCTAAGTTCTAACACATTATACTATGTGAGCCGGGGTGTAAGTTTAGATATATCATTTGTTCTTTTAGAGGAAAAGAAAATTTATACTCCTTCCGTCCCTAAATAAAAGTATTTCTTCCGCTTCAGATCTTCCCTGAATAAAAAACATTTTCCCCTTTTTGATAAACAAAATAGTGCAAAACATTGTTAGATAATACCCAAACGGTGTCACACAAAATCACTTTCTTAATATGTGTGTAAGCCTTTTATAAAGGAATGAAGAAAGTATTAAAAACAGATCGAAGTAAAAATTACAATAAGCCAATAACTCAAACCCCATCAATCTATTTCAAGGTCATGTGGCGGGTTTACAAATTTTCACAAACTGGTCACAATTGACAAGAGTATTTTAAAGATCTTTTTGGCAATTTGGCGCCAATTTAACAGTTACCCTCATCACAAGAGAGCTAAACACCAAAGAGCACACGTAGGTAGTAGCAAAGGAAGAGAGGTGATAATGGATTCGGGTTCAGCTGAAGCGGGCGGGTCAGGTACCTCGATGATGGACGATTTCGAAACCCTGATTTCGACTACCGACGCAGAGCTCTTAAAGCAAGCATGGCGGAACGAGAAGGGTGCTCCTGAAATCCTTCGATTCGAGGCTGCTCTTGTCCAAAGATCTCGCGAACAGATCCAATTGATGGTACGCCATTTCTTTTTCATTTCCTTGTAACTTATAAAAAACATTCCTTGTAATAATTTAATTCAATTTTGTGTTTGACCCTCGTAGTAGTTTTTTAGCATTCTAGATTAAGAATGGCTGAGAGCTTGTTATAAGAAACTTGTATTGGAGTGTTGTTTCTTTTTCATATGGTTACTCATGTAGTGTAGAGGTTTTGATACTATAACTGTCTGTTTAACATCAAGTTTCAGTATAGAGGCCCTGATACCATAACTGGCTTACGTGAGGTTCTCAGAGATAAAATCTGAAAACTAAGGTTCTTGTAATATAATACTCTGTAGTAAACAAACGAGGTGAATCAAGATTAAACCTATGTACAAAGATTCACCTCGAAACAAAAAGGACCATGAAAGTATGTGTGTAAACTGTCCAGATGCATCTATGGTCATGTAAAACAAATATATACAAAGATCCATGTGCTGTTACCAAACTATTGGCAGCCCTACTAATGAGGAATCGAATGACAATCCAAAACAATTGTTCAGAAAATTAGAACTAGTCAACAATATTGTCCCTTAATAGCATGATGAAGGTATGGAAATGAAGCAAGAATTTTATGGAGTCCTATATGACTCAACTATGAAGTCATATGGTCTCAGTTGGCTTCACCATGGCCACTCATTTTTTGATGAATTAATCATTGTTGAACCCAATGAAAATAGGTGGCCATAGTGAAGGCATATAAGTCACGACTCCACAATGGAGTGATATATGACTCCATATAATTACTCGGAAATGCAGCGCTAATGTGGTCCTTATTTATAAAACATAATCAGTTTAATTACACACTTGCACAAGCCAAGGAAAGTAGGTAGTAATTTGTATTAGTTAATTTCCCTAGGGGTTAAAAAAACGTTTTTTTTTTCAAAAATATTACTAAAACAAAACTTATTTACACAAATATGACTAATGGTTACTACAATGTAGTGTCATGGTATCTTAAGTTTAATTGAGCATAAGTTACTTTGAGTTCATTACCACTTTAGTCACTAGTCACATTTTTGTAAACAATCTTCATTTTAGTCATATATATGTAATTATTTCTAAAAAAACCATGGTAGTCCAATTCTAACATCACTTATTATGTCTTATAAATGATTATACTTCAATCTTTTCTGATATGTCAAAAGTATATATGAATATTTCAAACAGCCATGGACAATATTTTGTAGCGTCAAATAATGAAAATAAAATAATATAGGCTTCGAAGGAAAAAGTAGTTCCTTACTACAAAGACCATTCATTTCTTATAAAATGTGTCTTATAATGAGAACCTGAGGGAGTAATTCCTTTTTTCAATCATGTGACGTTGGGGCTTATGGATATTTTTGCCTAACATGTAGCATATGATGTCTCTACCAGAATACCAGCCCAGCTGCAACCAACATAATCATACAACACATGTACAGAGGATCAACAGTGTTAATTCAAAAAAGACTTACCCCAAATAAAAAACTCTTCATTTGTCAAACACCATTTTAATATTATCTTAATTTTGAGTAATGAATAGCTCTTGAAATTCTTTCATCTTTCAAAATATAGACATATTTTATAGACGTAAAAAATAGTTTTTGGTGCATCATAGTGATGCATGGTAGTCTCTTGCTCCATAATAATTCCTTGAACTGATTTGAGAAATTTCAGAGTATTGCATAATGCATACTAGAAATCTGTTTTTGTTTGGAGTTATCTCCTGTCTTAAAGGAAATAACAACTTCCCGTGCAATTTTACTTGGGTAAGCTTTTAAGTAAGTTTAAATGAGGACATCTTTGCTCTTGTAATAACGGCCAGGATTTTAGAGTGTAGTTTCTCGTTTCCAGCTCAGGTCTCGTCTATTTTACACCCACAAAGAATGAAAAACCACCACTATAGTCTCAAGGAGGGAAGTGAGCAACAACCTACTAGCTATTCCGGCCACAATTTCTTTCCGGCAAACCCACAAAGCTTGAGAGGAGAGTTTTCGGCGCACCTCTCAAACTGGAGAAGGAGAAGTATATATAGGCTAGGTCAAAATCGCCGATAAGGAAAGCTTACCATATTAGAATCGCGCAGCAGCTCAATAAGGAACGAAAGCGGAAGGGATGAATCGCGCAGGGAATGGAAAGTGCAAACAATAGGGGATTCAACTAGAGCATGGTCCGAGTACACCTCTAACAAAAGAGAATTGGGCTAAAAGAATGAGCTGGGCCAATACCTAACACATTCTCCACCTTATTGGACCATAGTGGTTTAGAGTAAAATCTCTAACACAAATTTGAGACTCATCATCGCTGGATTGCCCGAATGATCAAAAAGACGCATTCAGGCAAAAGGGGTAAGATCACCAGGCAACTTATCCGCAATCAATGTTTAACGTGTGCTTGCACGACAACAACTTTTCGACAGAGAGACATTTAGTCCCCATGTCCGCAGGATTAAATTCAGATGGAATTTTAATCAACTTGATATCACCTGCACTAACAATATCACGTATAAAATGAAATCTAACATCAATATGCTTAGTTCTATTATGAAAAACAGGATTTTTGCACAGTTGAATAGCAGGTTGACTATCATAAAACACACAAATGTCCTGATTAATGCTACCAATCTCCGTTAGGAGACGCTTAAGCCAAATGGCTTACTTAAACGCTTCGGTAGCGGCCACATACTCGGACTCAGTAGTGGAAATGGCAACTATGGGTTGAAGTTGTGACATCCAACTAATGCAAGACCCGCAAAGGGTAAACACATAAAAGGTGGTGGATTTTCTATTGCCTCTATCGTTACCAAAATTCGAGTCCACATACCCACTCAACTTAACACCCTCAGAACACCTAGTGAAAACCAACCCATGATTAACAGTAGATTTCAAGTACCTAAGCAACCACTTAAGAGCATTCCAATGAGGCAAACCTGAATTAGACATATACCTACTCAAACAACTAACAAGTAACAACATAGGCAATGTCGGGTCTAGTACTCACCATGAGATAGTGAGATACATCACGGACCCAATAACACTGGAATAAGGCACAAATTTCATTTTAGCAATTTCAGGAGCAGTCTTGGGAGACTGATCCTTACTTAACACAAAGTGGGACGCCATAGGAATATAGACGGTAGTAGCAGAATGCATGTTATATTTACTCAAAATCTTTTCAATGTATGAAATCTGATTGAGTACTAACACACGCTTACTCCTATCTCTAGCAATGTTAATGCCTAGGATCCTCTTGACATCACCTAGGTCTTTCATTTCAAAATTCTCGCTAAGACGTTTTTGCACACATTTAATGGCGTTACCCGAAGGACTAACAATCAACATGTCATCCACATAAAGCAATAAAAATACAGGCACAGAAGAAGTATTTTTAAAGTATAGGCAATGGTCGCACTCGGACTTGTGAAATTTCAAAGATGACATACACTGGTCAAATTTGATATTCCACTGCCTCGGGGACTGCTTCAGGCTGTACAAGGCCTTCCTAAGCAAACACACATGATTACTCTTCATGGGATCCACAAAGCCCTCAGAATGGGTCATATAGATTTTCTTATCTAAATCACCATGCAAGGAAGCAGTGGTGACGTCCATTTGCTTCATTTCCCAATCATTATGAGCAACAAGAGCAAGCACCATTCTAATCGTAGTGAATTTAACAACAGAAGCAAAGATTTCAGCATAATCAACACCTTCCTTTTGAGTAAATCCCTTAGCTACTAACCTAGCCTTATATCTAATGTCGTTAGGCTCTTCCTTAACCTTAAATAGCCACTTACACTCAACAACGGAACTATTGGGTGGTCTAGGAACTAACGTCCAAGTCTTATTCGCTCTAAGTGACTCCATCTCACTTTTCATGACCCAAAGCCATTTAGCGGACTCATTAGACTTAAGGGCCTCTTTATAGGTTCTAGGTTTGTTAAGCTCAAGGGTCTCAAACACAGAGAAAGCAAACATAGAAGTATCACACACATGGAAAGCAAAATCAGGCATATTATCTGCAGTTCTCCTAATTTCTCTCCTACTTCTCTCTGACAAGTTGATAATCATGCAAATCATTTTCACTAGAATCAGCACACTCATCATGCGATTCATTGTCATTTGAATGCACATGAGAATGCTCCACCTCACTCGAAGTGGTGGTATTATCATGCTCAGAAGAATCATGCAAATCAGAAGAATCATGCAAGTCAGAAGAATCATGATTAACAAACAAAGGACCAACAACATATGGTATGGACTCCACCTCAACGGGTGTACTACTAGGGCTCGACTCAGAATAAGGAACTGACTTAACCAGATAAGGAAACTCGGATTCATTGAAAACAACGTTTCTACTTGCCACAACCTTGAAACCTACCTGGTTTCTATCCCAAACCCTTCACACCCTCAGGATAACCTAAGAAGACTCCTTTCTTAGACCTACGATCCAATTTGTCACCTTGTTGGTGCACATACGCAGCACATCCAAACACTTTAAGATTAGACAAATCAAGGGGCTTGTTTGAGAAAACATATTCAGGGCACTTCCCATCTAAGGGAACAGAGGGAGACCGGTTAATCAAGTAGACAACAGTATTGACTGCTTCACCCCAAAACTTTTTAGACAAACCGGAGGTAGCAAGCATACTCCTAACCTTATCTAGAACAGTCCTATTCATTCTCTCGGCTATCCCATTTTGTTGGGGAGTATAGGGCACAATTTTGTGCCTTCTAATCCCACAATCAACACAGAGTTGGTCCATATCCAAAGAACACAGAGAAGGATGTGCCTTCTCAGCATATCCTTATTGCAAAACTCTAGACCATTATCCGTCCTAAGGGTTTTGACCTTCTCACCGGTTTGAGTTTCTACAAGGGTTTTCCACTCCCTAAACTTCATAAACACATCAGACTAATGCTTAAGAAGACGAACCCACACCTTCCTAGAAAAATCATCAATAATGGACAGAAAATATCTCTTACCCCCGTGGG